CCAAGTCTGGGGAGTGGCCAGGAAGAATCCAGGCGTGCAGGTAAACCCACTGGGGACAATGGGGGTGAGCTGGCAGCTCTGTGATTTGCTTCCCAGGCTGCTGGCTGAACTCTCTTCTCCTGCAAGCAGGGGAAGCAGCTGGCCAGGCTGTGGCCAAACCAGTTCCTCAGAGACAAAGGACAAGCTGACGCCTCAGCCAAGTGTAAAGTAGGTCAAATGGGCCATCGCCTGTTAAATGGCCATTCTTTGGCAGGAAAGATGGTGTGGGAGAAAAATCTACAGTTTAGCAAAGAAACAGCAGGGGATTCCCGTCCACACAGACTTTGTGTCTCCTGAACCTGAGTTGGAGATACTTCTCGAAGAAAGGAGAGGACTCTAAGGGAGAAGGGCAGATGCAGATGGTTACAGACTATCACACCCTAAAATATTGAAGGTGGCCCTTGTTGCTCCTGACAACACTTGACAGAAATGTTATACTAGGGTTTCATTTGTTCCTGATATATTTAAAGAATTATTTCTTGCTGTCCTTAACCATACCAGCCATACATTTTTCACAGATACCTTTAGCTTCCCTTATCAATTGTCTGCACTAATCGCTTCATTCTCTCTGCCCACAGCATCTATGACACCTGAAGTTCAAAGGAAGTAGCATTGGACTGGGGGACAGATCCTGACTGAAAGAAGTCTAGCCAATAGTACTGCTGAAACTTGTGGTGAGAGAGACCTTGCTTTGAATTCACTCTAGGTTGTTACGTCAGGCGTTCGTTCCATTTTACTTTTATTTTTCTTGTGACCAGTTCTGACTTTTAGCCGCATTACTTGTATTCACTTAAAATCCATCCCTCTGTAGTTAATAAACTTGTTTTATTGTTTCATCTAAACCAGCGTGTTTGGATTGAAGTGTTTGGGAAACTCCATTTGGGATAACAGGATTTGTGCATATCATTTTCTATTAATAAAATGACGGACTTTCTATGAGCTTGTATTGTCCAAGAGAGAGCTGGGCAGTACAAGGCGTACATTTCTGGGGAACGTCTGGGACCAGGTGCATGCTGGTGTCAGCCGGCAGAGGAAGTCAAGAGTGGCTGGCGGCAGCACTCCTACAATATAACTGGGAGTGACTTACATGCTGGAGGTTGGGCGTTAGCAGACCAGGAGTGGTAGCTACAGCAGCAAAACATTGTAAAGAGCACCCCAGGTTGGACGGTTGAGGTGACACAGCTGTTCATTGTTCTAGAAGACTGTACCCCGGGCATAGTCCAACTGTAAGTCATGATACAGAAAAGCATCAGAAGGATAGGTGTGAAGTATGCCTTGAAAATACATTGTTAATGGCTACAGCGCTCTGTCACGCATGCTCGCTCGCTCTCTCTGCCCAGTTAAGTGTCTGTCTGCAGCAAGTGAGATTGCCACCAATCACACTTATGTCTCTTCCAAACCTTTGCATTCTTCTTAGAGCTCAAGCCAATGAGTCAACTGCTCCCTCCCAGCAGATGGGACATCTTGTGTGCAGAGCAGTAACTAAGCTAAAGTTAAAATACACCATGCCCAGGATAGGAAAGATCTGATAGAATCATAGACTATCAGGGTTGGAAGGGACCTCAGGAGGTATCTAGTCCAACCCCCTGCTCAAAGCAGGACCAACACCAACTCAATCTAAATAAATGATGACTGAGAAGGAATCTTCCAACTCTCCTGAGTCCCACAAACCAAAGACTCGTCCCAACCCCACACACTGCCCAGTGAGTCCACAAGCCAGCCCTGTTGCTCAGAGGCTAAGGGATTTGGGTCCTTAGTTTCAGGGGCAGGCCTGTGTCTAACCCCAAGGCCACTCTGAGTGTCTGAGTGCCCTGTCACAGTGTGAGCACCGTCAGATTCTCAGGCGAGGTTGGAAGCTCTGGAGGGCCCTGATGCTGGGTGTATGGCTAGTAGGGTGACCAGCTTTTCAAAATGCAAAAACGGGACACATGCAGGAGTCCCGTCCCCTCCCCACCTCCCGCTCCTCCTCTTCCCCCTAAGGCCCCGACCCCTGGCCAGGCCAGACGCCAGAGCTGGACAGTGGTAGGAGCCACCCAGGGAGCCCGAGCTACTGTGGGGAGCCCCAGCCTTTCCACCTGCCTGTGGCCCATGTCCTGTTGCCCAGGGCAGTGGAGGGTCCAGGCCCACTGGGTGGCTCTCAACACAGCCCAGCTCTCGCTTCTGGCCTGGCCAGGGGCAGGGCCTTGGGGGGGACGAGGATAGCAGAGGGCGGGGCCTCATGGCGAGCAGGGGCTAAGGCGATGACTCCACGATCTCTTTTTTGAGTGGTAACAGCTAATTTAGAACCCCCCATTTTGTCAGTCTAGTTGGGATGATGTTTTCCAATGTGCGTTACTGTGCGTTTAGCTACATTGAATTTCATCTGCCATTTTGGTTTTTTTGTTGCCCAGTCACCCAGTTTAGTGAGATCCCTTTGTGACGCTTTGCAGTCAGCTCACAGGGCCGGCTTTAAGCCGATTCCCCCGATTCCCCGGAATCGGGCCCCGCACCTAAGAGGGCCCTGCTCTGGGGGGTCTTCGGCAGCATTTCAGCAGCGGGGGCTCCTTCGGTGCTGTGGAAGACCCAGAGTGGACCCCCCGCCGCCGAATTGCCGCTGAAGCCCCAGACCGCCGCTGGGTATTGGAATCGGGCCCCGCAGGTCATAAAGCCAGCCTTGTCAGCTCGGACTTAACTATCTTGAGTCATTTTGTATCATGTGCAAACTTTGCCACCTCACTCTTTATCCCTTTTTTTCAGCTCATTTATGAACTGTCCCAGTACAGATCCTGGGGGACCCCACAATTTACCTGTTGCCATGCTGAAAACTGACCATTTATTCCTACCCTTTGTCTCCTGTCTTTTAACCAGTTACTGATGGAGGAGAGGACCTTCCCTCTGATCTCATGATTGCTTACTTTGCTTACGAGCCTTCGTCGAAGACTTTCTGAAAGTCCAAGCACACTATATGCACTGATCACCCTTGTTCATGTTTGCTGACCCCTTCAACGCATTCTAAGAGATTGGCAAAGCATGATTTTCCCTTTACAAGAGCTCACATTTTCAGCTCTTGTTGGACTAAAATTGGCTTCCCCTGTGAGTAACTCACCTCTTCCATGTGCAGATCCATGCTGTCATTATCACCCTAGTGCTCTGACCACTATGCAGTGCAGCCGAGACAGGACTTGGAATACCAATGTAAAAACATGCAGGAAATGGGAGCATGTTCACTTTGTTGTGTCTGTATGAGTGTCTGTACTCCTCCAGGCTGCTCCCTGCACTCTGGCTCTGGGGGCTTTGCTCAGACACACGTGTCTCTCTGGGTTTTTCCCTTCGTTCATTGCCGTCGGTTGGATGGTTTCTGTGTGTCATCAGTCACCGACACTGGAGCTGCTAATGGCTTTGCACTGGCCCCATGGGTGCACTGCAGTGCCAGGGGGACACTTTCTGGCAGTTCTTTTCGATCTGGTGTCAGCAAAGGTACAGGGCGCCATGCAGTGCCTGCTGCTGGCTACAGCGTCTGAGGGAAACGAATGCAGGTGACTCGAAGCGAGTCTAGTGCCAAAGGCAGGCTCGGCGGGTGGTGCCAGCTGCCTGTGTGGGGGAAGGGCACACCGCTAGAGGAGAGATGGGCCTGGAGCATGTTGGGCCAGCCCCACCTGCCCCTTTGAGCCAAGCTAATGGGATGGGGAGGGGCAGGGCAAAGATAAACTGCTGCTGCTGTGTGTGTCTTCCTGCTGAGAAACCACAAAGCGAGTGGAAGAGGGACCAGGAGATGGGGAAGGGGATGGGGGGATGGGAACAAGACTGTGGGGCAATGGGGAACGGGATGGGGGGATGGGAATGGGACTGGGGGGACGATGGGGAATGGGACAGGGAATGGGAACGGGACTGGGGGGGGCGATGGGGAATGGGACAGGGGATGGGAACAGGGTTGGGGGGCCGATGGGGAACTGGACTGGGGGATGGGAACAGGGTTGGGGGGACAAGGCATGGGGTCAATGGTTGTATGTTGTTGCCCCTCTTTGGCTAGAGCAGCTAGTTGGGTCCCTGGGGAGGTTACCTTGGGAAGACCAGTGCAGGCTGGTATTTGCTTTGACACAGTCTTGTTTCTTTACAAGGAATGTACAAAGTCTGGTGTGTCCAAATACAGGAGGAACCGAGAGCAAAAGGAGCAGGTTCTTGGCTTACCCCAGGCCTCTTTGGCCAACACCAGACCCAAAAGCCCCTCCCTAGCTTTTCCCAGCATCACTCTGTGCTCACCGACTCCTGCTTGGCTTCCTGGCTCTCTCTCTGGTGTGTGTGGTCTCAATTTCTGTGTGTCCTGCCTTCCCTCACTCACACTCACACACATACACACCCCCCACGAAAAATACTCACGAAAGCCCTTTATAGGTGAGGGGTGTCTGGCAAACTCATTCTGACAGTGATGTTAATTGACGGGTGAGTTCACACCTATCAATCTCTATGAGGTTTTAACTCAACCCATGCAAGGTTTCATCCAGCTCACAGCAACACCATGGAATTTGTTTTACAATTTTCTGTGTTTAAAATCCCAGTTTATTGAGTTTGCCCCTTGAGAACACCATGCCCCATCCAAAGTGCAGGATTCACACAGAACCCCGTCACAGTTCTGGTGAGATGTAGTGCAAGCCCTGGCGTCCTGCTCTGTTCTTGCACACACGCCACATGCTGTGTCACACCTCCCGCAAACCTTAGCCTCTGAGTGCCAGCTCCTGGAGCCAGGGACCGGGGCTTTGTTCGGTGTGTGCAGTGGTGTCCTGCCGTGGGGACTGCTGGGGGGCCAGGGAGGCACCGAGCAGGAAGCAGGACCCGGCCTGCCCAGCTCTGCTGTGGTTTTGAGTCTAAAAGTGTTAGCACTTTTGCTGACCAGAACGTTCCCATTGTTCCGGGGGACCCAGCACGGGGCAGGGGGTAAACACCAAAAGGGGAAATGGGTGGGGAAGTGAAACTCAGCAGCTTCTTCCAACCCTGACCGGACAGAGCCACCCGCAATCCCTCCCCCATCCCCCCGCACCCTTCGCCTCATTCTCCCTCTCGGGGAAGGTCAGAGACCAAACGAAGCCGCCTGCTCACAGAGCCTCGGCCAGCCTCCGGGAGAGGTAAGTGACTTTTCTCTGCGCTGCCTGGGTGCGCTTCTCCCATGCGGGCTGCACTCTGGTTCCCCAGCGGCAGGTCTCTGCATTCGGGATCCCGCAGCCTTTCTTCCTCAGCCCCTTCCCGCCACGTTGGGACTAGCTCTCTGTCCCCCTCGCTCTTCGCCTGTCCTGGGCCGAGGAGCTCCCGGCCCCACCCCAGCTGCATGGCTGTGGGGAGCGGGGAAGGGGGGAGCCCCTCAGGCCCTGCTCTCCCTCTGAGAAGGCCAGTGCGCAGGGGGCCCCAGCCAAGCTGTACAGGGGGATGTTTGCATCCCATCCCCTCTCCCTGCCATGCAGCCAGTCTGCGGTGGAAATGACAGCCGCATCTCTGCCCACAATCGCTCTTCTTGCCTTGCTGCTCCTGGCATCTCTGAGCCCTGCCCAGCTGCAGTCAGCTCTCATCGGGTCATTCCCTGCCCAAGGGGCTAGCCTCTCTGGGCCCGTCTTCCCTGACATTCATAGCACTTCCCGGCTTGGGGTCACCTGTGAGCGGGCTCTTCTCCCAGCCCTGCAGATGGGGGGGGTCCCCTGCAGCGCAGGTCAGGGTCTCAGCCCCCAGCTAGGGCCTGGGAGCGGCGTTTGGGCTCTGTATTGTGTGTCTGCATCAGACCTAGCCCACTCCTGACTCTGGTCATACCCCCATGCTGACCATGGCCGGGATGTAACCAGTTCTGAACCTGGGTGCTGGCTCTGACCAGGTTTGATTCTGGCTGGCTGGGTCATCTCTGCCCCGGTGCTGACTCTGGGGTGAAGCCTGGTGAGCGGTGACATTGGGAGTGACGTATGAACAGTGGAGAGAGGAAAAGAATCAGAGTCTGACTGTTTAAAAGACTGGGGGGAGCCTTGGTCACTGACACCAAAAAGGCCAGAATCTCACCCTGTCTATTAAACCCCAATGCACCCGTTGGAGAAAGGACATCTTTGTTAAAGGGCCATTCCTACCCCCTCCAGTTCGGTTGTGCGCACTCTCAGCATGCACATGGAGCCCCCCAGAACCACAATACCAGGGGCAGCAGACTTCACAGGCCTCCTGTTTCTAAGGTACAAGTGAGCAGAGACCCCCCCCCTGCATGCTTCTAGAACTGCCCCTCGAATCACCAGCCCCTTGGAGGGAGAGAAGGGGACTGAGTTGGTTTTTGACACTTGGCTCACGTTCTGCTGCTCTGTGCATAGCTGTGATGGTCTCTTTCCAGGTTCCTGTCCGCTGGTAGCCAGCCCCCGCCCTGTGCACGGCAGCCCCCGGAGGTAAGGAAAGCCCGCTGCTTTGCCGCTTTCTGCATCTGCTCCCCGTCTCCTTTCCCAGCAGCTCCAACACCACCACCACCACCACCCCACACACACACAGACATAGCGACACCATAACCGATGTGGTTAGCGAAGGAGAGTGTCCATCTCCGCAATGGTTTTGGAGACAAATTCAAAACTGAAATATCAGGGACATTTTCCAAACGGGCCCATTGCAAACCCAGGGCAACGAAAACAGTGACAACAGGCTCCACAGGCTGGAGGGGTTTGTGCAGCTAGTATTTCACCCAGCTCTAGTGTACGCGGTGTGTGTGTGTGTGTGTGTGTGTGTGTGTGTGTGAGAGTGACTGAGGGGGCACTCCCACCCAATCAGAGTGTGTGTGTGTGTGTGAGGCTGAGGGGCACGCTCCCCATCCGCGGCTGTGTGTAGTTGGGTTGGGGAATCTTCTCTGTCCAGGCAGGGGTCTGTAGGGAAGTGGCTGTTGTCCCTGGCTGGAATTGTGCCCTTTGTGGGGGGTGACTCCCGCAGCGGGGAGCAATTGTGGGACTGTCCCAGGCATGGCTCACGCTGTGGGGCCCATGTGCTTGCAGAGGTAGAATGGCTGGCAGATTCTGGCTGGCAGCCAGCACCCTGGCCATGATCCTGGGCATGGCAGTAACTCAGGAAAACGTGTGCCAAGCACCGCCCGGCAAAGAAGGCTACCCTGGAGTACCGGGCCTCAGCGGGAGGCCAGGGCAGAAAGGCGACACAGGCGAGCCAGGTAAGGTGGGAGAGGGAAGCTGTAGCTCTCAGGGCTGAGAACACAGGGAGGGCTGGATTGTGCTGGGTATCGTCTCTATGGCACCAGTTCCAACCCAGCCTTGGCTGGCTCAGTGGAAGGGATGGAGCCAGGTGCTGGTCCAGGCCGGCTCGGCGGAGGGGAGGGAGTCGGGCGCTGGCCCAGGCCAGCTCGGCGGAGGGGAGGGAGCCGGGCGCTGGCCCAGGTGGCTTGGGGGAGGGGAGGGAGTCGGGCGCTGGCCCAGGCAGGCTCGGCGGAGGGAAGGGAGCCGGGCGCTGACCCAGGCTGGCTTGGCGGAGGGGAGGGAGCCAGGCTCTGGCCCAGGCTGGCTTGGCGGAGGGAAGGGAGCGGGGCGCTGGCCCAGGCCGGCTCGGCGGAGGGGAGGGAGCCGGGCGCTGGCCCAGGCTGGGTCGGCGGAGGGGAGGGAGCCGGGCACTGGCCCAGGCCGGCTCGGCGGAGGGGAGGGAGCCGGGCGCTGACCCAGGCTGGGTCGGCGGAGGGGAGGGAGTCGGGCGCTGACCCAGGCTGGCTCAGTGCAAGGGATGGAGACAGGCTCTGGCTGACAACGCTTGGGCCCAGGTTCCGTCAGCTGCGGCCTGTTCCTCTCTTCCAGGGTTACCAGGAAGAAGGTCGGGGATCCGGGGACCCAAAGGGGATGAAGGGGAACCTGGACCTCCTGGCATGCCTGGGAACCAGGGCTACAGGGGGCCAAATGGTCCCCCTGGGCTCCCAGGGCAGCCGGGACAGAAGGGAGCCAAAGGCCAGGCTGGCAATATCAAGGATCAGCCCCGGCCCGCCTTCTCGGCCTCCAGGAAGAAGCCCCCCGCCAGCGGGAACGTCGTGGTCTTTAACAACCTCATCACCAACCAGGACAACGGCTACAACACCAAGACGGGCCGGTTCACCTGCCAGGAGCCCGGCGTCTACTACTTCGCCTTCCAGGTGATCTCCAGCGGGAACCTCTGCCTCAGCCTCGTCCGCAACGAGACAAAGGAGTTGGGCGTCTGCGACAGCAACAGTCGCGGCATCCTGCAGGTGAACTCGGGGAGCGGCGTGCTCCAGCTGGCCAGGTACGACCAGGTCTGGCTCGAGAGCGACCCCCGCCAAGGCAACAAAGTGTACGACGGCACCGAGGCCGACAGCGTCTTCAGCGGCTTCCTGCTCTTCCCTGAGACTCAGTGACACCCCTCAGCCAGCTACAGCAAGGCGGCCCCTGCCTCTCCAAGCCCCACCGCTTCGCCCGCTGGCCTGCGAGAGCCCTGACGGGGGTGCACGCGGGTCCTGGGGGGCCGCAGGCCAACCGGTGTGTGCAGACCCAGCCTTTCCTCACCCAATCACTCAGGAGAGCGCTCCGCCTGCACACGCCCGCCTCCGTGCCACGGAGGCTGGGTGCCCAGTGTGCCAGGCAGGGGTGGGAGCCGGCTGCTGAGCTGCCCAGGGCCTGTATAAAGATCATTTGTGTCCAGTTCCCCGAGTGTAGGGGATATAGCCCCTGGCCAAGCGTCACGGCCCAGACCCTGCTCCCGCAGGGCTCCCCTTGGCTTTGATGGGACCAGGCTGGTTCTGGGCATTGTGGGACGAGCGCACTCCCAGCCTGCCAAACAGACCGGGAATCCCCACCTGTCCCCTGGGCTGGCGGGGGCCTGGCCCCACTCATGGGATGGCATCTGGACTTCCGGGGTCACTCGCAGCAGGGGCCTCCCTCCTAGCACCCAGTATGGGGCTCCTCAGACAAGGGGGGGGCTCCTTCCTCAGGCCCCATGGCCATGACGCCGCAGCCCAGGCCTTAGATGAGATCTGTCCGCAAAAGGCCAAAGCCTCCCACAGTGACCCTGCCCTGCTGGCACCCCTCTGCCCTGGGCCTGCGTCCCTGTAACATGCCCTTTGCTAGCGTACGGCCTTGAGAGAGCTGCCCTGGGGACCAGGATGTGGCGTGTGGCGCCGAGGGGGCAGTATCTGGGGGTAGGGGAGGTAGATAGGCTGTGCCTGGCCTGGAACCCCAGTTCACGCCCTGGGAAGCATCATCTCGCCTTCCAGTCAGGTCCATTCCATCGTCAGCAGCCGGCACGCTGCCTAAAGAACCATAGTGCCCACTCCAGGCAGGGTCCCCCACCTTCCCGGCCAGGTGCTGCCATTCGGCACGGGCCGTGTCCCCCAGGCCGAGGAGAGCGGTCACACTCTGTGCTCTGTCCAAGCAGCAGTCGCAGACAGTGCCCCGGTCCCAGGGGCTCAGATCTTCCTGCCATGCTGGTTCTCATCCCCCTGCCAAAGGAGATCAGTTGTCACCCGTGTCATTACCCCGCTGTGGCCCCTTTAGTCCCTGATAGGAAATCGCTGTCGGTTGTGGCTCGCGCTGTACTAACCATTGCAAATCCGGAGCTGGCTGCAGGCCACCCCTGGCTTTCACCCCCTTCCAATCAGCACAGACAAATAAACCCTTTCTTTCCCTCGCTCATTCCCATGGTTTTCTTTCTCGTTCACATCTTCCTGCAAACGGTCAGTGTCCGGGCCCCCTCGGAGCCAGGAACAGCACAGGCCCAGAGCACAACGGGCTGGCGTCTCCCAGGAAAGACCCCCGCAGGATTTGAACTCCCCAGCCTTTGCAGAGGCTGCCTTTGGCTCCAGCTCCCCCATCCCAGTGCTGTCCAGCGAGTTCAGGCTCCAAGCCATGGGGAGGCTGAGGGAGCCAACGAGGCCGGAGTGTTTCCGATCTGTCAGTACTGAGAGCGATGCCTGGGCGGGCGGCTTTCCACCCTGCACCCGGGGACAGGGACTCGCCTGGCTGACCCAGATACACTGCAGCTACATAGCAGGGGCAGCACCCGCACGCCTCAGTCTGTCCTGAGCGGGAGGGACCCCCCGGAGCCAGTGGGCATCCAGATTCTGTGACCCACTCGGCCCTTGGCGTCTGGGCGTGACAAGGAGCAATGGGGCCGGGAGAACAGTCTCCGGGAGAGTGACACTTTTTTCTTCCTAAATCGGAATGAGGCCAGCAGCCCATTGGTTTGCCCAGCACCCAGCACCCAGGGCCCTGATCCTAGTGCACGTGAGAAATGGGTTCACCCGGCTCGGGCCAGGCTGCAGACTCAGTCCCAGGACTCCTGCACGGTGGGCTGCCCTGTGGCGCTCCCGGGCCCTGGATTGCGGGTGGGAAGGAGGGCTCTGACATCACGGGAAAAGGGGGAGGGGAGCCAGGCGTAATGCTGCAGGGAGCATGGACGCTGCCCTCTGGTAGGGCCCCGGGGCATTACCCTCCCCCCACACACAGCAAGCAAAGCAGGCAGGGGCAGAGGGCATGTGCCCCTCGCAGAGGGCAGAGCTGGTACTTCAGGGAGCACGCACTGGACACTCCTGGGGGTCAGCTTGGATTCCTCCTGGGAGCTGCCTCTGCCCTTAGCACCCTGCCCACAGTGACAGAGGAAGGGAGAGGGGAAAGAGCACTGCTCACTCACACCGGGGGGCGCTGTGCTCTCCTCACGGGAACCAGCGCCTCGTCCAGGGGCCTGCGCTCCTGGAACACGATGGACAGACGGACGGACGGACGGCTCGACCAGCTCAGCCTTGAAAAAGACTTCTGTTGATGCAGCTAGTGAGCTAACACCTGGGCCCTGGGGCACTGCCCAGAGGGGTGATACCCGGGTATCGGCCATGGCGCCAGGACCCCTCCCTGGGGGCTGATTCCCCGGTATGTGCCACAGTGCCAGGACCCCTTCCTGGGGGCCGGTTCCCGGATTCCCAGTGTGTGCCACGAGCCCTTCACTGATCCAAAAACATTCTTCAGTAAAAGGAAGTAGGAGTGATGTGGGTATTGGCCACGACCCCCCCACCAATTCAATCATTTACGCTGGCACCCAGGGGGCTGAGGGGAGGGCCAGGCTGGCCAGGGTGCCCGTGCGAGGCTGGGAACGGGCCGTGACATGTGCCAAGAGATGGGGATGACACAGACTCAGCACTAACCCTCATCCCCCCACTGATGGGCAAGTGTCGGAGGTCACAGGATTCTGAGCAGGTGCCCCGGGCACTGGGATGACGTCATGCCACTGTGGGGGAACCCCCAGCATGGCCCTCTGCCGTCCGACACTTCAGTCGCGGGGGGAGGGAAAGAAAGCGAGGTGAGCGGAGAGGCAGTGCCCTGAGGGAGTTGTGCATCTGCCTCTGGATCAGCCATGAGCACTGCGCACGGCCCCTGGTCCCGCTGCTGGGCCTGGCACCCCTCGGTCTGGTCCTTCCTGCCCTGCCCCCTTGGCGGCCAGGCCCGTGGCGAGGTGGGGAGTGCTGGCGCGGCGTTTAGCGTTGCCCGGCACTGCGGAAAACGCTTGCTCAGAAGAAATGCCCAGGACAGGGATGTGAAACTTGGCCAGGGTCCCGGCAAGGGGGCTGGTCTTTCCAAGAGGCCTGTCCTGGCCTCCTTCAGCCACCAACTTCCTCCTGGCTGGTGTCGCAGCCAGAGCTCTGACAAGCCAGCCAGCAGCCCCACCGCAGCAGAGCCCTCCGGAGAGCGCGGGAGCCAGCGCCCGGCCCCAGAGAGGTAAGGGGCTGGTGGGGGGCAGTCGCAGGACATTGGCGAAGCGGCTAGGCCCATGTCACTGTCCTGTGGGCCCTGTGGCCATAGGAGCTGACGTGTGGCTGTGGAAGGGCTGGCTGGTGGGCTCACAGCAGGGATACCCCAGTAGCCTGCTCCTGGCCACTGGTAGGTCACTCCGCGTAAGGGTTTTCACTAACTCTCTGCTGGACTTCTGGGTCTAAGAGCCCCTGCTAGGCTGGAGGGCAGAGCCATGGGCCAGCAGGTGCACTGGTGTGGGGCAGCCACGGCGGGCAGTGCAGGGACAGATTGCAGAAAGGCAGAGCTGCCCCCCGAGCAGCGCAGCGCCAGGGATCCTGGGAATAGGACAATGCCCTGGGAGCCGGGCTGTCCCTGTGCCAGCGCCAGGGAACCCCAGAATGGACCTTCCTCCGGCAACCCAGCTGTGCTGTGGGCCGCAGCCAGCACCAGTGACAGGCAAACCAGGGCCAGGCAGCTCTGTCCATGCACCAACAGCAGGGCCATTCCTGACCTATGCTCAGAGCAGGGAGCGGGAAGGGCTGCCGGAAAAGAGAGAGGCTGCCCACGAGGGTGGGGAGGGAGACGCTGCCCTGGCTCTCTGGATGGGCTCTGGCTCAGGCTGGCAAAGCCCGTCAGGCAGCGTTCCGGATCCATGCAGGCTGCCGAGCGGACAGGCTGTGCCCAGGAGGCGGGGGCAGGAGCGGGTGGGCATGGCGAGCCAAGGGAGGGTGGCTCCTGGTAAGAGCGAGGGTCAGAGTAACCCGCGGTCTGTCACTGGGTGGAGATGCTGCTGTTTGGCCTGGCAGCAAGGGGCCTCCGCTGTGCCCACGGCGACCGGGCAGGACCCCTCAACACTCTCCGCATTTCCACTCGTGGTAGGACAATGATGGTCAAGAACGTCTGGGAACCAGTGGGCCTGGGCCTAGCCCTTCTCCTCCTGACGCTGGAAACCTCCGTGACAGGCAGTGCTTCCCACAGCTGCTATGGGACCCCTGGGCTGCCTGGCACGCCTGGCATGCCTGGAAAGGATGGCAGAGATGGGATGAAAGGAGTCAAAGGCGAACCAGGTAGGTGCCCTCTAATAGAAGCTTGTCAAGAGAGGGGGCATTGGAGAGGTGTCACCAGAGGGCTCCCTGAGGCCCATAGTGCCCGGAAGATAGAGGATTAGTGCCGGCTGTGTCCTGGGGCGGACAGGTGGGAAAGCACAGAGGGAGAGGAGAGGACACGGCCCCACAGCATGATCCCAACACAGGGAATGAGCTGCCCTTCTCCGGCGCCTTTCCTGCAGGAGTGCAGACACTGGCACAGTTGCCGGCTCAGCAGCAGAGCCCTGGGGGCTGGCTCAGGGATACCAACCCTTTGCAGATGTGGAGTGGGGGGGAGAGGACTTGTCCACACAGCCAGGCTAGGCTGGGGTCACGGCCGCTCAGCCACCAAGGCAGGGGGGCAGGGAGGGGCTGCCAGCTGTCCCTTCCCAATGCACTGAACCACTGGACCCACCCTGACGGACACTCCCTGGAACCCCACAGGCATTCCGGCCATTCCTGGAACCCGAGGGCCCAAGGGGGAGGAAGGAGACCCCGGCAGCCCTGGCCTGCCAGGAAAAACTGGTCCCATGGGTCCCCCTGGCACCCGGGGAGATCCGGGCGACCAAGGCCAGCCTGGAGGGCCCGGCATGCCTGGTAATTACAAGCAGAAGCACCAGTCAGCCTTCTCAGTAGCGAGGCGGACCGGGCAGTACCCGGACAAGAACGCCCCTGTGGTGTTCAACCACGCCATCACCAACCTCAACCAGGACTACAACATCACCTCGGGCAAGTTCACGTGCCGCGTGCCCGGCCTCTACTACTTCATCTTCCACACCTCCCAGACTGCCAACCTCTGCGTCAACATGTACAAGAACCGGCAGAAGGTGGCCAGCTTCTGCGACCACATGTCCAACAGCAAGCAGGTCAGCTCCGGGGGCCTCCTGCTGCGCATGGACGCCGGGGACCAGCTCTGGCTGGCAGTCAATGATTACAACGGCATGGTGGGCATCGCTGGCTCCGACAGTGTCTTTTCCGGCTTCCTGCTCTTCCCAGACTAGGCAGGCCAGACCAGCTCTGGCACGCGCTGGCTGATCCCAGCCTCTCTCTGCCCTCTAACATGCACGCTGGCTCTCTCCCTGCATCGCAGCACCTCACAGTGGGACACAAGGGAATCGCACGCCCGGGGCCCTCTGCACAGGGCCTCTGCTTGCATCAGCTTGGCTAGGGCTGAGGCAGGGCCTGTTGGCTGCAGTCCTATCCCTGTCGGGACCCCGTGGCCACCCAGACTCCAACCAAAAACTAACCGGGGCCGAGCGGTTTTTCACATGTGTTTTTGAGACAGAGTCACCAAGTGTAAGGGAGGGGGTTGTCTGGCTGCGTCCCTGCCTGGCGAGAACCACGGTGGCCCCACTGTCCCCGCTCTCCCCAGCCACTCTGCGCTCTCTACACAGTACAGGGTCTAGCTGCTGCATGCACTAACCCCCGCTGCTTCACGCTGCTCACACCTTTAGGGCCAAAGCCAGCCCTGGGTCTCCCCACTGCCCCCAGCGAGTCGCGCCAGGGACGGGCTCATCCCAGAAAATCTGGAAAGGGAGCTGGGCCATGAGCTTCTGTCAAAAACGTCAATAAATCCCCACTCTGTGGCACAGGGCCTGATGTCTCATGTTCTACGCACAACCGCACAGCGTATCAGAAACCTGTGTGTGTGTGTGCACGTGTGTACGTGTGAATGTGTGTGCGCGTGTGTGTGCATGCATGTGGATGTGTGCACCTGTGTGTGTGCACCTGTGTGTGTGCGCGCGTGTGTATACATGCGTGCACCTGTGGATGTGTGCATGTGCGTGCATGTGGATGTGTGTGTGCGTGCGTGTGGATGTGTGTGTGTGTGTGTGTGTGCACCTGTGTGTGTGGGCGTGTGTGTGCATGCGTGTGGATGTGTGTGTGTGTGTGTGTGTGTGTGTGTGTGTGTGTGTGTGCACCTGTGTGTGTGTATGCGTGTGGATGTGGATGTGTGTGTGCGTGTGGGTGTGGGTGAGTGTGCATGTGGATGTGGATGTGTGTGTATGCATGTGAGGTATTTCTATAACACTGGTTACAGGAGCCTGGCAACGAACGCCACAAATGCCCAGCCAGGCCTCCATTGCCCGGGCGGGGTGTGCACCCCGTGGTGGGCGGCTGGGCGCAGGTGGGGAAGGGGATTTTGTTTTAGAGCAGGGCTGTGCTGGGCTCCCTCTGCCCCATGGAGTGAAGCGGGGGAGGAGGAGGCCTGTTTCCCATCCCTACCCACAGGCCCAGGCTCCATCTCCCTCTCTGGGGTCTCAGCCCTCCCAGGCAATGGGCTGGTTCAGCCCCTTCTCTAGATTGCCTCTGGGTACCAGCCTGGCTCTGACTCCAAGTTAAACTGCCCTTCCCATGGGGCCCTGGGGAACAGTGCCTGCCCCCCCTCCCGACCCTGGATGGATTCTCCCTCTGCTGGCACAAGGGTGCAGGTGAGTCACAGCCGTAGGGCCAAATGCATCCCGAATTGGCCTTGCCCCAGCCCAGCTCCCTGGCAAACACACGCCATGCCAGTATGCCCCTGGCCTTGGCGCCTGGCACACCCTGGCCCCGGCACCCAGGCGCTCCAAGGGCACGGCACACAGCTGGGCCTCATCCAAACGGAAATGGCCCATTCCTCCCTCCCGGCCTTGTGGGTTGGCCCCACATTGATGTCCTGGGTCTCGGTGCCTCACCTCAAGGCTTCCGAGACTTCATGGGCGAGGCTGCTGGGCCCCCCAGCACTGCGCCGAGCCATCGTCATGAAGTGTAACTGTCCTGTTCCCGCCACGGACACAGGGATTGTCCAACGCGATTAGGATCCTTGGAGCCTCTCTGAGGCCAGCTCAGAGGCACTGAGTGTCAGAAGGAGCTGGGGGATGCCACGGAGTCTAGGAGTGGGGCTGATCCTTGCGCGTCTCCTGGAAGGCAGACCCCCCCTTCAGCCCCAGGAGTGGTGCCCAGCGCCTGGCAGGACAGTGCCGTGTGTGAGCCAAACTGCACCAACTGCATCTGCTCCCTGGAGCTGGGTCCCTCCCTTGGATTCAGGGAACAGTCGCCCCCAGTGACTGTTCTGCTCTGGCCTCTGAGCCAAACAACTGGGGGAGGGATGCGGAGTCAGACCCAAGACAGGGACCAGCATGCAGGCAGAGACGTCCCCGTCCTGGGCCGGGCCAGGCCAAGCCTGGCAGCTCCCGTAGCCCTGAGCTGCCTGGGAGACAGTGCTGGTGACACAGCAGGAGCCCCCGAACCAGAAGCCGGCAGGAAATACGCCACTCCTAAGCCTTGGCTGTGCCCTGTGCCCTCAGCCACTGACAAAGACCTTGCCGTGCCAGCCTGGCTCTCCAGGGAGCCTGCCCCTCGGGGGGTAGCTCAATCTAATCCCGGGTTTCCCATACGGCCTGGAGGAGCTGAGGAACCCCAGGTCCCAGGATTCCTGTTTGGTTACTAGCACTTGCAGAAGCACATGCCCGTGTCCACCTGGCTGTTTCAGAGACACGTCAGGCCAAAGTCCGTGTACCAGGGAACTGGCTCAGACCAGCAGAACCAGTCAGACGGGGGCAGTTTGTCCTGCTGCCCCAGTGCAAAGCTGCACCACCCCGGCGCAGTCTGTCTCCTGGCGACCGTCCCCGCTGCCCCCCGAGGCCACACCAGGGCCAGGACAGCACCGCTAGACTCTGGAGCGTGCTAGAGCAAGTGCCTGGGAGTCTGGAGACCCCCACTGAGCCCTTGAGCGAGTCACTGCACATCTCTGGGGGGTGCCGGTCTCCCATGTGTCCCATGCAGAGATAGCTGCAGCTCCGCCGGGAGGCTGGTCCCTGAGCACGGGTCACTCAGGGTCTGTCTGCACGGCAGTTAATAGCTGCGCTGGCCCATGCCAGCTGACGGGCTCGCGGGGCTCTGGCTAAGGGGCTGTTTAATTGTGATGAAGACATTTGGGGAACCCCCTCCCCCATCTCACAGGGTCCTAGAGCCCACGCTGCAGCCCGAGCCCGAATGTCTAAACTGCAATTAACTGCCCCTTGCCCCAAGCCCTGTGAGCGTCTCATTGCAGTGTAGACACACCCTCAGAGGCCTAAGCCAGCCAGTGCCCATCTGTCAGCAGTCTCTCTAGTTACAATTACAGCCCAGCTCTTCTTCGTTCTCTTGCTGGAGGAGGCAAAAATCTCCCCCAGGTTCCAACCCAGGGCTCCAGTGCTGTTGAATACCACGAGCTGATTGTCCGAGTGGCTGGTACCTGCCCCCATGCCAGAGGCTGGCTCAGGAATTCCTGGC